TGAATGTTCAGTGTGCGAGTGAGTGTCAGTGGAGTGAGTGTCCTGTGTGGTGAATGTCAGTGTGCGAGTGAGTGTCTGTGTGCGTGAGAGAGGAGTGAGTGCCGTGTGAGTGTTTTTTTTGTTTTTTATTTCGAAGATGAGTGTAAAAGTGAGTTTATCTGCAGTTTTCAGTCCACCCAGGAGTTCAGACTTTTGAGTTTGTAGAGGTTGAACACTGTGTGCAACGACACGTCACGATGTGACATTGGAGTTCTCCCTCCGTGAAGAAAGCTCCAGAAAGACTGGATCAGATGAATCCACTCTCAAAAGTCTGGATCAGATAATCCAGCACAGAAAGTCTGGATCAGTGAATCCAGTCCAGAAAGTCACTGGATCAGATGAATCCAGATTCGCAGCCCTTCTTGTCCGGCATCTCTGAGGTTCCAGGAGCTCCTGTGAAGGGCAACTGACTCGTTCCTCCCACTCATCCTCCTGTCAGCCGTCTTCCCTAGAGCTTCTGGGTGACGAACGTGCTGGAAATTGAATACACACAATAACTATATTATACAGTGAAATTTGTTATCAAAAATCAAGTCATAAAAATAAATGAAGCCTTCCTCCCACAGTATTGTCCTGACTACTTTTGACCACAACACGTATACTATATTATTATTATTATTATTTTATATTGCCATGGGATGTTACAAGAATAGAAATAGTTCTTTTACCTTTTGTGCACATCACTGCCGCTTTGATGCCCCACCTGTAAATAATATACATTTGTAAATCACTATGACCAGGAGAATATATACAATAATATGTACAATGTTATGAGGAGAATCACTTACCTCCATGCCTGTCAACTCCAATGGGGGAGGGCTCTTTTATCATAATCTGTGAAGACACATTGGCAAACCACTCATCGATAAATCATGATCAGTTTTGCTGAACGAATCCGAGGCATCAGTAACAACAGCAGGCGATACCGCTGCGAGAGGCGAAGTGTTCCCTGCTCTTGCTCCGCGCAATGTAGCTGCAGAGACGACCTCCATCGGGGGTCTCGCTCTCTCCCCTCTCGACCGTCACTCACTGATCCGCGAGTCAATCTCTGAAGCAGTGTACACTGCTTTATAACTATTCTTTTTCGCCATCACTCTTGCTATACTATCGCTAAACAGATCCTGATCCGTGTTCAATGCTACACAGCACCACTCCAAACACTCCCACACTCCTCCACCACCTCTCCACTACTTATGACCACTCCTGTGGTGCAATACGGCATCCTAATGGTGTTGATTATCATTACAGGTACAATTGCACTATATATCAGTATTGTTGTGGTCATTCACAAGGGTGCGCCAGACATTACTGCCGCCTCCCGTGTAATAACACGAAAAACTCGTCAATCTCGTCATGGGCAGTGAGCGTTACTATTCAACATGACGAGTTTTGTCGTCATGGCATGAATAAGTTAAAATGGGAAACGCCTCTATGATGTAGTTACGTTTTGTTTACTTTGGACATTCCAACTTACAACACCCAAACACGGTTCTTTGTTTTTAATGACTAAACCTGTCGACTTGTGTATTTGTTTTCTGGACCTTTTGAGGCGCAATTAACAGCATTTCAGAAACTTTCCATAGTATAACACATAAATTAACAGAAATTAATGACTAAAAGCACAGCAAATTACTAGATTTATAATACTGGACATATCTAAAAAACTCACAGATGATCTCAAATATTTATTTGTTGTTGTGATTTTTTTGTGAGATAGCTGAAGGAATTCACAAACATAGTTATTTAGGAGCCAAACAAACATGAATGATATATACAACTCCAAACAATTCTTTTGATGCCGGATGGATGAAAAAAAACCATATCAGATTTAATAAAGACGTAACCCAACAAACACGAGGGACCACAGTATATATGTCAGTTTTTTTAGATTAGATAGATTTTTCTTTCAAATGGTAATTTGCAATAACCCAAATCACAACAGAAACTTTACAAAGAATGTCTTTTTACCAAGAAACCGGTCAGGGGAAAAAAAAAGGGGGGGGGGACAAAGAAGAATCAAAAGATTCAAATGAGAAATACATTAAATAACAATGGCCACCATAGCATTTTTACATTTTTATACTTAAACTCAAAAAGCTTTAAAATATACAAGTGACCCTGGATCTGTGAAGGGCCTATATAAATAAAGTTTCTTACTCACGCACTTACAATTAATTTAAATACAATGCAAAAATTGACATATACTATATTCCATGTCCCTTCCCTTAAAGGTATCTGAAGTCCAGTATGTGTCCTGGCCTCACGCTCCAGTGCATTTGCGGGAGGGAGAGGGTCTCTCTGTCATAGCATACATAAAGATAGAGCGTTCCCTATATTTTGAAAGTGCTTTCCCTATAGGCCAGTACGCTGATGATTGTTTTAATCTCTCGATGACTGAACCACGACACCGCCTAATTGCTCAGTAACTGATGACGGAATGGCTGCATTTTTCGCCGTCCCCATTATCAACACTCAGCAGACCGGCCTTTTCTGTGTGCGCCAGGGCGGCTTTCCAGATTTCCATGCAAAGCAATGATTTGAAGTCCCGAGGAGAATTTATCTACATTTATGTACATGTATAAAATGTGCCTTTTATTGTAGTTCCATTGGGAAACTTTTTCCTCTCGTTTGACCCATCCTGATGCACACATGGGTCAGTCTGTCAGGAGTGCCAGTATGTAAAGCGCTCGTGGAACACATCTCCAGATATGTTGTACTCAGCTGGATCAGTAGGCTGGGCAATAATCAGGTTTAGCAATTAATTGGCTTCTTTTGAAAAAATTGAATATGTGAAAATCGTGAAATCGGAATGAATTTATTGGAGAGTTCCAGCGTGAATTATACTTGCAATATCAGCACAGTCTGTTCAAGAATTTTCTAAGACGTATTTGGGAACAAATAAAACAAAGTTTTGAAACTTTAATATTGAGCGAAAGATCAAAAAAAAACATTTTTTGGGGGTAAAGTCTCTTTGTGATTTAATGAAAATCAGTTAAAATTGAAATAATTCAAAGCAAGAAAAAAAATCGAGATTTTACTTTTTTGCCATATCTCCCACCGCCTAGTAGACAGTATTTTATTAAACCCAGTGGCAGCAGAACTCCCTGGTTTGGTCAAAGATCACTCCTGAGCACTCTGAGCAGGAGAGACAGAGTGAACAGACATGGAAGTAATATAGTCATGGTCATGCTACATTTGGATGCATTTTGGACAGTAAATTGTCTCCAAGCTGCAGAGACCATGTGGAGGTCCTAGCAGCAGACCCATGTGGAGGTGTCAGGGACAGCAGACCAGTGGAGCACCTCAAAAAAGCCACGAAAAGTGGACTAATGCTAAAATATCACTGAGATCCACACCAGAGCCAGCAGCAAAGTCCAGATAGGGTCACAGCGCAACGCCGACTAAACAGACCTCTGTAGATGTAACCAAAGCAAAAACACTCTAAAACGCGTGCATAAACCGCAACATACATCACGCCCAAACACACAAAGATCCACACAGCAGTACTGTTGCACTTAGACTGATAAGTATAAGTATTTCCACAATTGATTTATTGTCATGTATGAGTGTTTAGTCATTGTAATATTGTTATTCATTGATTTACTCTTATTGACGATAAATATAGTGGCCGACCCCCTAAAAAAATGGGGATGAATACTGCCATTCAACTGGCATAGTTTGTCAAGCGCTACTTTCAATATGTACATTTTTGACAGTTTTGGATGAGAACATTTTGAAAGTTTTGAGCAATCACATTGTGGATGGTTGTGTGCCATAAAACTTATATTTTACATTTAAAAACACCCCTTCCAAAACGTGTTGCGTTTTCTAACAAGTAAGATCCTGGACATGTTTGAGAGATGCTAAAGTTAAATAAATAGTTTTAACAATCCACTTTTCGCAGTGCGTGCTGTTTCACAAAACCTCATTTTCTAATTTTTGGTCTAAGACTGGTGCTTTTTGTCACAACTCTCCTCTTTTCGGACTGGAGATCACATGGGGAGAACCTGAAACAAACTTAAGAACAAACTTATTTTTGCTGGCTGAAAGTAGACAGTCCGGTCTTATCAGACATCTGGTTTCATATTTTTCATAGCACACAATATCTGTGAGTCCTGAAAAATCAGTGAAGTCATCAAAAAAATAGCTGGCAGTCAATGAGAACCTCTTTTTTGTGTACAAAAATTACATAAAATTACAGATAATAAAACATCACATACATATTGATAAAATAGTCACATACAGATTATACAACAGTAACACACATTTTCATAAAATTACGGATTATATAAACGTTTACATTTCACTGAAGATGTCTCAATCTGGATCTAAAAGCATTCAAGGAAATAAGATCAGATCATTCTAGTCTTTTTGCAACACGTACCATGGAAAGAGCATTTTTTTTTCCCAGTTCTGTGCAAAAGGACAGGAGAGACTAACAACGATCATTTGATCCAAACCATGAGAACATGTCTCTGTGATAAACGACAATGTACGAGGGCAGCAGAGCAAGCCTTAGAAACTAAAGGCACCAGAGTCCCAAACCTTCTGTGGACAAAAGGATCCCAATCCAGAAATCACTCACAAGTGAGCTTTGCATTCGCAATGAATGAAACATTTAAAACAATTTTTTTTCCTAAATTTTAAGCGCTGTCTTACTATGAAACTGTCTAACATATTACATAAATAACTTCTTTAGGAATGAAACCTCTGCCATTTATTGATGAAAACTTCGGCTTACCTACGCTAACTATGTGTGGTGTTGCGTCCATTTGTGTTGGTACTTGAGAGCAAGTATTTTTCTGAGGGGGTACTTGGTGTGAAAAGTTTGAGAAACCACGGACTTAAATTAACATAATATAGAATTGTGAGAACATTTTCCTGGGGCAAGATGACAGAAACTTGCAAACATCGGGTGAACAGTATTCCGGGGCAAATTGAAACAGTAAACCGCTGCAACTATGGCCCGTGGGCCTCCCATTATGGGGCACCCGCTGCGCTACAGCATCGGTAAGGAAAACTACAAACGCAGTGGGAGCAGTGCCGGGTTCGGGGGTCCCATCATCACAACCTGAACAGGAACACCTGTTTTCAATTTCAGCTTCAGAGCGATTTACAGCTGATGTTCCCCATTCTATCATACTCAGTGGCAAGTTTCAATGCAAGGAATTGCATATACGTTGCGGCGAGGCAGAAGCATGGGATCCGCAGTATAGATTTGCATGCAGCGAAAGCTGGAGATAACCATCCTCGAACCGCCGTCCAAACATTCACATGTGGGGCTTCCGGCACGTGGGGTTAAGAGTCTTCCGCAAGGACAGTAACCTAAGTGGGAGCATTTGGAGTAGGTCTCGTGGGGGGCTTGAACCCCAACCTCCAGGCCCAAAGGCCCCCCCCCAAATGGCTTTCTACAACTGAGGGCTACTGTTCCCCCTGCCAGTGCAAAACAGACACTCGAAAAGCAACCAAAACAGGAGATGAACCAGAGACTAAACCAGGGCTGACAATGGGGGACACAGTGCTTGTGAACATTCATCACCCTGAAGTTGACATTCTAATACTGTGACTGTAAAGTGTTTGCTAACGTGTTTGTCGAGGAGGAATCCGCCAGCAATAAATCCTCTCAGCCTCTGGTAGTCTTGATCCTAGGGCTGGGCGATATGGCAAAAAAGTAAAATCTCGATTTTATTTCTTGCTTTGAATTATTTCAATTTAAACTGAGTATCATGAAATCACCAAAGAGACTTACACTCAAAAAATGTTTTTGATCTTTCCGCTCAATATTAAAGTTTCAAAACTATGTTTATTGTGTCCCAAATACGTCTTCGAAAATTCATGTTACAGACTGTGCTGATATTGCAAGTATAATTCACGCTGAACTATTCAACAAAAACATTCATTCGATTTCCACGATATCACAGTATTCAATTTTTTTTCAAAAAACCAATTAATTGCCTAAACCTGATTATTGCCCAGCCCTACTTGATCCACTGAGTACAACATCGGAGATGTGTTCCCGAGCGCTTTACTATGGCAACATCCTGACAGATTCCCATGAGGTGGCATCAGGAAGGGGTCAAAACGCAGAGGAAAAAGGTTTTCCAATGGAAATAAATAAAGGGCACATTTAACATGTACATAAAAGGTTAATAACTTTCTTCTCGGGCCTTACAATCATTGCATTTGCATGAAATCCTGGAAGCCGCCCTGGCGACACAGATAAGGCCGTCTGTGGATGTTTGTAAGGGGACGGCGAAAGCAGCCATTCCGTCCATCAGTAACTGAGCAATTTTACGGCCGGTGGGTCCCGTGGTTCAGTTCACTCCGAGGAGATAAAACAAACATTCTGCGTAATGGCCTAATAGGAAAGCACTTTCAAAATATAGGGACGCTATTATCTTAATGTAAGCATGACAGAGAGACCCGCTCCCTCCCCGCAATGCACTGGAGCGTGAGGCCAGCACATACTGGACTCCAGATACCTTTAACAGGGACAGGACAAGGAATATTGTATATGTCAAATTTTTGCATTGTAATTTAAAAATAATTGTAAGTGAGTGAGGTAAGTAAACTTTATTTATATAGTACGCACCTTCACAGACCAGGGTCACTTGTATATTTAAAAGCTTGTTGAGTTTTAAGTAAAAATTGTAAAAATTATTGGCTTGTTATTAATGTATTTCTCATTTGAACTGTTTGATTCTCTGAACGGACTCGGGTTCTTGATAAAAGACATCTTTGTAAAGTCGTCTGTTGTGATTGGGTTAGGCAACATACATTTGAAAAGAAAAATCTATCTAATCTAAAACACAGACATATATACAGTGGTTCCCTCGTTTATTGTTGGGTAGAACGTCTTTATTTAAATCGATATGTTTTTTTTTCAACCATTCCCTGCATCAAAAGATATGTTTGGAGTTGTATATACTCATTATGTTAGGTTAGCCTCCTAAATAACTATTGTTTGTGAATTCCTTCATGCGCACTCACAAAAACTCACAACAACAAAAAAAATATTTGAGATCATCTGTGAGTTTTTTTAGATAAGGTCCAGTATAATAAATCTAGTAAATTTGCTGTCTTTTGGTCATTATTTTCCTGTTATATTTATGTGTAATACTATGGAAAGTTTCTGAAATGCTGTTAATTGCGCCCTCAAAGGTCCAGAAAACAAATACACAGTCGACCAGGTTTAGGTCATTAAAAACAAAGCAACCGTGTATTGGGTTGTTAGTTGGAATGTCCATAGTAACAACGTAACTAATCATAGAGGCGTTTCTCCCATTTTAACTCATTCACTGCCCATCTGACGACAAAACTCCGTCATGTTGAATAGTAACGCTCAATTACTGCCCATGACGCTTTGACGAGTTATTCGTGTATTAACACGGGAGGCTGCAGTAAATGAGTTCTGGCGCACCTTGTGAATGACCCACATACTGTATATATGCAAATGTACCTGTAATGATAAATCAACACCAGTAGGTATGCAGTATTGCACCACAGGAGAGGTCATAAGTCAGTGGAGAGGAGGAGGAGGAGGGTGGGAGTGTTTTGAGAGCGTGCTGCTGTAGCATTGAACGGATCACATCTAGTTTAGACGATAGTATAAGCAAAGAGTGATGGCGAAAAAAGAATAGTTATAAGCATGTACACTGCTTCAGAGATTGACTCGCGGATCAGTTGAGTGAGGTCGAAGGGGTGAGAGCGAACCCCCCCCGAATGGAGTCCGTCTCTGGCAGCTACATTATTGCGCGGAGACAAGAGAGGAAGGGACACAATTAACTTCCGCTCTCGCAGCGTATCAGCTGCTGTTGTTACTGATGCCTCGGAATCGTTCAGCAAACTCTGATCTTGATTTAATCGGATAGTGGTTTGCAATGTGTTCATAGTCACAGATTCTGATCAAAAGAGCCCTCTCCCCATTGAGTATGACAGGCATGGGACGGTAAAGATGATTCCTCCTCATACCATTGTTACATATTATTGTATATATTCTCCCTGTATACGGTGATTTAACAAATGTATAATAGTTACAGGTGTGCATCAAGGCATGCAGTTTGCTGTGCACAAAAAAGGTAAAAGAACTATTCTATTCTTGTACAATCCCATGGCAATATAATATAATAATAAAATAATATAGTTATACTGTGTTTGGTCCAAAGTAGTCAGTCAATAATTGTGGGAAGAAGGCTTCATTGTAGTTTATGGATTGATTTAGAGTAACTAATATTCACTGTAAAATATAGTTATTGTTGTATTAGCCAATGTCCAGCACGTGTAGTCCACCCAGACGCTCTAGGGAAGATGCTGACAGGAGGATGAGTGTAGCCTGAGTCCGTTGCCCTTCACCGGACTCCCCTGGACCTCAGAGACTGAGGACGAGAGGCTCGCGAACTTGGAGTCATCTGATCCAGCTGACTTTCTGAGCTGGATTCATCTGATCCAGACTTATCTGGAGCTGGATATCATCTGATCACAGACTTTTTCTGGAGCTGATTCATTGATCCGACTATCTGGAGCTCTTCTTACACGAGGAGAACTCAAATTGTCACAATCGTGTCGTGTTCCGTTGCACACAAAAAGTGTTTCACCTCAACACCAAAGCTGATCTACTGGAGGAACTGAAAAAGAAGATAAACGCACTCATACACACACTCAACGAACACTCACACTGCACAATCACTCAATCCCTCAACCACCGCACACAGACACCAAACCACTCGCACACTGACATTCACACAACAGACACTCACTCACACAGACACTCACTCGCACACTGACATTCACACATTCACCATGCTATCCATTCTATTTGATACATCTTTAGTTTTTATTGATCTTTGTGTTGTTTGTTTTGTTTGACGTTTTTGGTTGATGGTATAAAGATAGTTCAAAATTTTCTATCTGTGAATAAATTGCCAACAATTTGCCATCAAAAGTATTATTTCAGAGTACCATGTTTTTTAAATTTTTTGGTAATGGAACAAGTGTGAAGATGTTTTGAGTTGTCACTAAAGCAACAAATAATGCATCTAAAAGTCTCTTTCTGCTTGATAAGTTACCTGTTTACATACAGCGTCCTTTTCTCTGTTTTCGTTGCTCAGACCATGTGTTATGGGGGAAAGTATGCTTTGTTGAATAACTCAAGAACGGTAGATGTAGAAAAACACTGTTTTTTTCAGAGTATAGCAGAGAGTTAATCTTTAATTTGGTGTCCCTTGGGTGTTTACATCGTCTAAAAAAATGAATATTCTGTGGCACTTCCTGGGTCCAAATCACCTGAAATTGCTGCAGAACTCACTTCTCAGAACTAAAAATCCGGGCAAGTCAGTGAGTTTAACTTAATTCTAAAGTTTAGATCAGCTCCAGATAATCCACTGAACCCAAAGTAAAAAAAATGACTCACCAGGGCTCATTCCTAAAAATGAAATTCTATACTCCAAGAGTGCAACAAAAATGGTCACGCAGTGCAGAGCAATTTTTTACAACGAAATTTTGCAACAACAAAAAAACACTTCACTCTGACACATAGGTCACCTTTAAGTTTCAAGTTACATCCTGTAACCAGCGCAGACTGGTGGCCAAACACGGCTCCTGGCCCCAATCCCATTGAGCAAAAATTTTGGTACAAATTACATGCATTACATCATTATCCTCTAAAAAAAGTACATTTAAAATTACGGACATCACATGGGGCATAATTTCCATTTAACCCACCAGGAAATTGTGTCCCTGTTTCGATCCTTTCGCACGGTGTGACAGACCGGTAAATGTGTGTGTAAATGTGTGTGTAAATGTTGCTTGTGCACCTTTGCAAACCTAGTAAACTGAGGGGAAAAACGGACGAAGAAATGGATTGATTGCGTGTGGAGGTTACGTATTGGAACGAGGTAAAACGGATACAGTGGTTCTCAAAGAATCACTGAAATATAATTATTTTAATTTACCAGGAAAGTCCCATTGACGAGTAAGAACAACTTTTTCAAGGGATTCCTGAACAAAAAAAA